ACAGAACTTTAAAATGGTGTTTGTATTGAAAATTCTTGAAAAGTACATGAGTGATTGGGAATGATTCTTGTAGTAAAAGAAAGCTTATTGATTGGGCTTTCATATCCTAGATTTTGAAAGTGCTACAAGCAAAACTTCATTTGGAAATTGGTCCTTCCATTTGGGTTTCATTTTTTTCTTACTTACCCTGTGTATTCATTCATACATGTAGTTACCAGTTTGCAAGTTTACCAATCAAATTACGAGGGTTTATTCTGGTGTTCTATAAAACAAATGATGCATGTTTCACATTCGTGCAATGGAAAGAATAATTTCATGGGGTGACAAGATAGAATACACCATGTCACCTTGAAATTATTATTTGTATACCATGCTAGCTTCAGACTTACAGCAATCCTATTTTAATGACCGCAATTATGTACAAAATGTTCATGTACCGATACCATATTCCGTGAAGCAATTTAATTACACAAAATCAGCAAATTTCCAAGGTACAATAGACGTGTGACAACTTTCGTATTCTTCTCTCTTTTTTTTACGATATTTCCAACTATTATCATTTTACCTTACGAAAGAATCGAACCATTCATGCTTCGTTGGCTGGAATGGTTCTTTAATCAGAAGCGGACACTATGCCAGTTGCTGTTTCCATAGCAACCTGTGCGGTTGCCATGGTGATGGATGTATTTGACAGTGCCTTGGCCATGCTTTGTCTAGTGTTGGTATAATCTTCGAAACCCGGAACATGTAGTCTCAGTGGTTTTGGGCTGAGATCTTCAGTTAAAGCAAAAAAAAAAGGGGGGGGGGGAAGAGATTTGCAGAAAATTGAAGGAAAATTTTAAATTCAGGCCAAACAAATTGTAACGTTGCGTCTGAGTTTTAAACAATGATGTTGTTTTTAACTTGTTCTTCTTTTTCTCTTTTTTCACACAGACTGAAACAATTGGCAGGTTTAGTTTAAGAATAATTACATATTACTTCACCCCTTTTGTAACTGATAATGTATAGACTGAGAACCAGTCTATGACAGGGCTAATCTGTTTTTGCACAAAAGTATAACCCAAAACAAGAGCCTTATTTTTTCAATAGGGTTGCAGAGGCTGTGAATAAAAAATGCAATTTGTTTTTGTTGAAAATTCCTCAGGTAACAATTCTTCATACAAATATGCACATTTCTTTTGGCTGATAGTTCTGAAGCAAAGGTGCATCATGCATAGTAAATTTGCCACCATACGGACAATTTCCAATATTTAAGTAAAATGACCTTGAAACAATATTAGGCCTACTTGTTGTACTACTGGTAGCTACACATGTAAAAGACATAAATTATGTCAATACAATTTTATTACACGTGTATTAAACATGCACATTATGCATGTTTTCTACATTAGCAGCAACCAAACACCTGCAGTTGCAATTTACATACGTATGAATTACTCAAACTGAACAAATGATAAATTTTCACAGGCAACATAAATTTGAGACAACCATTGCATACCATACTGCACGTATTATGTTAATACCTATCTTTTTTTTTCTGACAGACATTTTATGTACAAAATTATTTAAATTTTCAAGAATGGGATGTGACTGTTCTTAAAGTTCTGAAATTGTCTAGAACCAGACTATTACGATCTGCGCAAACATTATACATGTATTTAAAGAGTGCTTCGTGTGCCAAATTACTCTGAAATATTTTCATTTGCAAATGTTCAATCCCGTTTTCTTGAGATTTATTACATAGGATTCTTAAAAGCATTAAAATTAGCTGTTAAACATGCTGAACGATGCCCACGAAGTGCTGGTTGTCATGACGACAGGCAAGATTTATCATGATTACCATGGCGATGAATGGCTTACAGTCTTTTTGTGTCTGGTGTTGGATAGACATGTATGTGAATTATTGTAGCATGGTCTGTTAATGTCTAGCGCGCCTCGTGTATAAACGTGTATTATAATAACAGTTTATTGTGTGGACAAACATATGGCTGTTTCGGCAATTAGAATACATACATGTATGTCATGTTATAGCCTGATGATAGAACTTGTGCAAAAGAAGAATGCAGAGTGATCAGGACCAATATACATGTTGTTCTGTAGATGTAGGCCTTAGAAAACTGCACCTTTAATGTGACGTCACATGTCATGTGATGTCGTATCATGATGTCACTTTAAATTTCATCGCTCCCGACTTAGATACATGTAGCTCTACAATGTATGTGTGTAACCCCCTTTTTGGGAGCCAAACTTGCAGGCCATAAATGCTCAAAAGGTAGAGTGACTGAAAAGAAACCATGGACATTTGCGATGTACATGTATGTCCCACATATACATTGTACGACATGTACGCACTTTAACCCTTTTAGTCACATTTTTGCGCCTGAAACCGTCCTACGTACATCATGTACCGGTGCATGTATTTCTCCCTGTACTGCTGTACAAAAAAAAAAGCATGCCTGCTGTATAGCGCCCGAAACAACCCTGGCACTTTTTGTTTTTATTGATTGATTCTTCTGTGAATAAACACATACATACATGTATGTGCTAATGGTTAACATATGTGTAGTATAGAATATATATGTGTAAATTACACATGCAAACTTTATTCAGTAGACAAAGGGAATTACAATACAGCATATGGCATTTTACGATTCTGAAATCCTTTCAGTTTGTCCCCTGCATATGTAAGTACCTGCTTGACCTGGTACATGTGCAATGACATTGTACTTGTACTTGTTCCTGTACCAGTAAGTACCACAATGTATCTCATTTGTAATTTAAGCACTGTACCCATGTACATACGTCTACAGTGTGATATATCGTTAATACATTTATCTACATAAGGGCAATCCCATGGTTATTCACGTTACATTTTTGATGTACTTTTGATTTTCCTTGGGCTGTAATTACCTTACTGAAAAGGTTTAATAACTGTTATCCCCATGGTAGATAGAGTAGACCTAGACCTACCTAAGCACCAAAGATGACATCCAGAAAAATGTATTACATGTATGTATGATAAACAAGACGTACAAAATTGGTTACTCACGTTACGAAAATGTAACGTGAGTAACCGATTTTGTGCGTCTTATTTATCATACATACATGTAGCACATTTTTCTGGATGTCATCTTTGGTGCTTAGGTAGGTCTAGGTTTACTCTATCTACCATGGGGATAACAGTTATTAAACCTTTTCAGTGAGGTAATTACAGCCCAAGGAAACTCAAAAGTACATCAAAAATGTAACGTGAGTAACCGTGGAATTGCCCATAAGCATACAGTACCCGATATGTACAGTGGAACGTCGCTGTACCGAACACCGCTATACCGAACATTTAGCTATACCGAACATCATTCTTGCCTCTCGGTTTTTGTGTACAAAAGGTACCGAACATTGTTGTTGAAAAATGTCAACAGAGAGTGACAAGTAGCTATTATTCCCCGAGGAATAGAAGGGGAAGGCCACCCATTGCTGTAGCAAGTAAGTTCAACAACTGTGTACAATGTAATTAGAAAATACGGTGGATATTGTTTTTAAAAGTGTTACGTACATGTACGTAACGAAGGACAGACATTTTAGATAAAGTCACAAAGTACATTGTAAGCATAACATTTAATGATCCCCTAATGTTGTCTGATTTAAGAAGATGTACCCTGGAGGAATGCTGTCAGTCAAAACCTAGAAAACTCAGAGTCAATGTGAAGAATTATTTGATATTTTATAATAAGGATTAGTACGTAGGAACAGACTGGACATTTGTCTCAAAATGTCTTTCCTTGTTCGTACGTAACCCTTATCACATCATAACTTTGAAGCCAGTGCAAAACTGTTATATTTTCGATTGAGCAATTATGAGATAAATGAAAGTGCCTATTAGAAACTGAAATTGTCTTAAGTACCCTTTTCCTTGCAATGTGTTTGCCTCTGTGTTACACAAAGGTATCATCTCTTGTATTTCCTTGTCCTAGTCACTTTCAGCTTTAGCAAAGTATAGGAGAAAACTTATGAATACACTAGCTCATCTTTTACCCTTTATAGGCAACATCCATAAACTTATTGGCCATTAGTGTGGATTGTTGGTGGATTTTTTATTCCCCCCCCTCCGAATCTCACCCCATTGCACGCGTCGGAGACATGAGTGCATCAATTGTGCAAACTTTCATTTTCGAATGTTTACCTAATTACAAGGTACGTGTTCATCCATATAGAGCCTTGCACTACACGTGTGCTTTGCATATTCCTGTTTTGTGGTGCACAATACGAAACATGATCTAACCATGTACATGTACTTTGCAATTTAAGAAAGCGAAAATGTATTATGTAAAATCAACCACAAACAGAAACTGACTACATGTAGATGCACTATTATGTATGTGGCTACATGCATGTATGCATAATAGTCACTTTCTCTTTCATGTCCTTGTGCTTTATTTAATGTGTAATAAAAAGCTGTATTCTCTATGCATGATCCCTGTTGGCTATTCCTCAAGTTAACGGCATTGCTGATGTTACGAGCATCGTGAACTTAGGTGTGATGCCTTGCATGTATACATGTACGTGTTCATCTTTTCAAACCTTGTACCAAAAGACAACAATATCGTCCACGATTCCCAGCATACGTCCGCGATTGGGGTCGTGTACAAAACTATGGGAGTCTTCCTAAGAAGTTAGAGTACAAACAAAAGAGGGACAATAGGACGTCCACGATCGACGGTGAACACACGTTTGCATGTACATGTTGGCGGTCTCTGATTATAGTGGGGGATAGTGCCCTCGAACAATGACATTGACAAATTGGGGAACCGCCAACATACAAGTACCCCCGGTAGGACTGGATAGCTCAGTTGGTAGAGCACCGGAACGGCAATCCGGAGGTCACAGGTTCAAACCCGCTCCAGTCAATATCTGTGTTCAACTTTATAATTAAATGCAAAGTGATTAAGTTCTTCAAGCAAGTGATTTCAATATTTTTTCCCAACTTTTAACAATTTTGTCAGAGCATCGTATTGAGGGGATGACATCTGGCTGACCGCCGCCATGTTTTCCGTTCGGATCGTAACGGTCAATCACTACCAGGCCCAGCCAATCAGAGACCTGGATGTGGCCTACTCGGACTTCCGGGGGTCGGAGGTCAAGCAGGTGCCGGTTCTGCGCGTATTTGGAGCCACGCCCCTCGGTAAGCCAATGACGTTCTGTAAATAGTGATTTAGTAGAGGTTGAATTATTGAAGATTTTATTCGAGGCTGAATCATTTGAAAGTGAAACCAGTCTCCATGCATGAACAGTATGAAAGCTTTGTGGCTGGTTTTAAAAGCCTCAGTGGGAAAGATGTGTGCACATGTACTTGTGGGTGCGCAAATAAGCACAAAGTACCGGTACGGACCACTAATTTTATTGTGAATGTTCACAAACACGTAACCTCATCAGCAGAGGGTCAACCCCCGTTGGCAATGCATTCAATATGTCCCTCACAGTGTTCCGTGCCATGTGCACATGGTATTGTACATGACACAGACTCAGTGCTGAAATGTGCAGTAGTGTGGCATTGAAAAGATACACATGTTGTTTCCCATGCATGTGCGCAGTGGACAGGGGTTTACATTTCGGTCTATAGACAATAAGTTGACCTAAAAAAAACACTGAGATTTTACAAAAATACAGCACATCAGGGCACCATGCATAGGGATCTGCAACGTGTGTAACGTCCTAGTTTTTTGCATACATTGTATATATTTTGTGTCCTGACTGGGCCCATCCATTGAAGGGCAATAAATTGGAATTTCGAAAGAAAGAAAGCATTACAATTACAACATTAGGAATTGATGAGTACTTTAAAATGAAAATTGTTGACCTCAACTCCCATTCAGTCAATCACGCAGATAACCATTAGGCCCAAAAAAAAAAGTCTCCGGTTTCTGGTATGGAGCTTGCCCAAAAAGTGGTGCGGCGACGCGGCTTTTTTTTTTTTTTTTACCTGATTTTTTTTGCTTCAAATGTCGGCTGATGACTGCAAATGGTGCCCGACTAAACTTAGTGCAAATATATGGGAGCCCAGAGAGGCTACATAAAGCTTATTCTTGACCATAACCCAATCTAAAAACACGTTAAAATTGTGCAGCAGCAGGATTCCAGTCAAACCAGTGAGTTTGGCGGTTTTGAGACATCATCTTTCATTGAAAAAAAAACTTTTTCATTTTGCCGACGTGCATGGCTACGGCGACACGCGCGCATACCAGAAACCGGAGACTTTTTTTTTTTGGCCTTAGGTAAATTCAAACACGGGAGTCTGTAGTTAGACTAGTCAGTGTTTGGTGCCAAGACGTTGGTATAAAATGTTAACGTGGACTGGCCAGACTACACACTCTGTTAAACTGATGTCTCATGCATATTCATTCCAAGACCTTCGAGTTTGACCCGCTTTCCTGTAGGTCAGAAGATATGCCTAAACACGCCATGTTCCTGTACATACCGTACATGTACATCATGATTAAACATTTGTCTCATGCATATTCATATCCATGACCTCATAGGTTGACCCACTCTACCCGCAGGTCAGAAGATGTACCTTCACATCTATGGGGTGTTCCCTTACATACTGGATAGACAAAAGCCAACCTCATGAATTATTCATTTCTCTCATGCATATTCATTCCACGACCTCGTGGTTCGATGCACTCTCTCTACAGGTCAGAAGACATGCCTACACATCCACGGCGTCTTCCCGTACTTCTACGTGAAATGCGGCCCGCAGGAGTTCGCAACCGACAAGGACCTGCGGCAATTTGCCACCAGCCTAGACCTGGCCCTGCAGGTTGCTATGGGGAAGGCGTCTGGTAACACGCAGCACGTCTTTAAAGTTGTCGGCGTGCAGGCAGTGTAAGTAGTTAAGCTACGCGCTTGGCTAAAGTCCAACACTTGCCACAAAATTGCTTTCTGTTTCACTTCCTGTTTTCGTTCATTTATTACTTTTTTGTTTCTTTCGTTTGTAGAAAGGCAAAGTTTATCAAGCTCTGTGTAAATATTAACTTAAATTGTATTTTCAAGGATAAAAATGGAGTCTGGCTGTGGTTAATTCAATGGGAAAAGGAAGAACAGTAAATTTCCTGTTTGCACAGGTAAAAAAACAGTGGTATTCATGCTTAATTCATGCATGCAACTTTTCCTCGAAACAAGTCCTTTTATTTTATTCGGGATTCGAGTAAATTTTGGGGAAAATTTTAAACAGATTTAGAATGTCTTTTTGTTTAAACATGTAAACGTCACATTCTTATCACTAAGTTACCTCATATGTAAGCCATCCTCAATATAACAGTTCACGTTAAATTTTTCTTTTTCTGTTTTTGCAACAGGCCAATGTATGGCTACCACAGCAGATCACGTCGCTTTCTCAAGGTCTATTTCTATAATCCGCTCATGGTGAAAAGGTAAGCCCACAACCGGAATTAATGTCGACGTATAAAAGGTACATTGTTGAGTAGATGAAAGTATTACATGTGTCTCACTGTAGTCGGTAACTTTCAGCCCAGGTTAAAGGGACACTAGGTCCTGGAACAGCCCAATTGGGCTACAAAACGCGCTTTGAACGAGATGATGTTAATCGGAAAATAACATTTCAAAGTAGGATATAAACATCCACACAACTATCCTTTCAAAACTGGGCGTTTTTGTGTTACTCCTGTATTATGCGTGCCAGAATGAATTTCGGGGTCCACTTTTGCGACCCCATAAATTGGAGCTGTTTGGATGCTAGTTGTGATTTCATTCGTAAAGTGTTCGCCTTTTGCGGACGTTGAAGAAACCACTTTTTTTGCATTGGTGATTGGTCACCGCTGTTCCCGAGACACACAACGTGTATATCGCACACTGAGAACGACACGAAAAATGTATTCGTACTCCGTCATGTCTGATGTAAACAAGCGGGTTTTTTTTCGTATTTTCTCGGGAAGGGTAAGACATTAGGTTGGTTTCCTTTCAACCAGATGTTTGAAATAGGCTAAGTAAACAATCCAAAACATAACATTTTCGGGGATTTCAGGACCTAGTGTCCCTTTAATTATACTGATCACCTAGAATAGCAAGTTTGAATTGAAAAAATCTGTATACTGAATTTAGCATCAGGAGCTTATTGTAAATATCAACAATTACTTGCCACACTATAGTCTTCTATCATGTCTGTTGAATTTTATTTTGACATTTTTATTGGCTGTGCAGGGTATTTCACAGTTTTCTAGAAACATTTTTACGCACTGAGCTGACACTTCAGCAGGTTAGGTTTTGAACTTTCTACCGGTACTTTGGATTTTGAGCGGTGTTATTATTGGAAACAAACAAAATGCATGAAAAGCAAATGATCCTATATGCCTTTAAAATTGAATGAACTTTTTTGTGTCAGAGCCGTTGAGCTGCTACAGAGCGGAGCCGTCATGAACAAAGTATTTCAACCTCACGAGGCCCACATTCCATTCATCCTACAGGTAAGTTGGGGGAGGGGTTGTATATGAGGGGCTTAAACCACCCCCTCCCCACCAAAAAAAGGGGGGAGGCAGGGGAGTGGCTACACATCGTAGCAACACACTGAAGCGCTCTCTGCTGCTCATGGTCTGCTTGCTGATGGTGCGCCGTATGCGGACGTAATTATACCGTCACTGCGGTCATCCGGCAAATTGAAATTTTTGGGGGAAAAATTTGCCATTTCGTTTTGGTAAACAGAATTCCTGCGTTTGTTTATGGTGTAAATCGAGGACACACACAAGCAACATCATCGATGAATCGAGGACAGGAACCAAATCGAGGACGACTCGATTAGAAAACCAGTGAGAGCTGTTGCGAAAAAGTTAGCATACAAACAAAGGAAAAGGGAAGAGGAACAAAAGAAAATCCTCGATTTACACCATAAACAAACGTGCCTGATCATGCAGTTTAATATTTTCAAGTAATTTTTAAATGTTATATTTTTATTTTTTTACTTACAGTTTTTTATCGACTACAACCTGTATGGCATGAACTTGATTCACCTTGCGGCTGTCAAGTTCCGTAGAGAAAAAAACGAGAATGGTATGTTTTGAGATTGAACTTTATATTCATTCGATATAAATTCCCTACTTACTAAGTACAACTTCTGTAAATCAACTTTGTTTTTAAATATTTACATCTTCTAAAAAAAAAGAAAATAAAATATCTTTCCAAAACAAAAATTCCATCATACAAAGAAAGTCATCTCAAAGAAAAAAAAATGGAACGTTATTTATGCAACGTGATATAATTTGTTTTATTTTTTATTGCCAGATGATCGAGATACGCCCGGATCTCACAGTGAGACTAGTTCAACGGACACACAGCCCGTTAACCTGAGCTCAGTACTGAGTGCTAGCACTATCAGCTCACAGAGATGGGGTAAAGAAAACATTCCAAGGTAGGATTCCGAAAAGGTCTATGTATGAAAAAGGGTATGTATGAAACCTGGAGGCTTCTCTTCTCAATTAAAGTAGCTTTGTAATATATTCGTGAATACCTAAGACAGTTTACCCATTCCTATTGGTCGAGAGTTTGTCACGTGGCTGGTTTAAAACGAATGATAAAGACATGGCTGGCTGGTCTTAAACACTTTTCCAGTGTCACATGAAATTTGGACTCCTGAGAAATCTGGAGCCAGCACCGTTTTATTGGTTAAATGTTCACAATCCTCATGTAGGCATGTGCAGTACTACCAGTGAGTCGGTATTTCGTAGTCCTAAATTCACACTACACCGGTACATCTGCGTTGTGCGCCACATCACGCAGTATGGTACTTGGTTGGTTCTCCTCCTAAGGACTTAATAATGTTCCATGCTTTCCCGACAACTGAGGGCGCTATTGCTGTGATCTCATTTTGCACACTTTGCAGTTTAGGGTGTCCTGTTCAAATTGTGAACCCAAAAATTTGCTAGAAATTTGTAGAAAAGTCTTGTTTTGCGTGGAATTATTTCTTTGTTACTTCTGGTTGTACATTGAAACACCACTATACCGAACATCATTGGATCCACAGAAATTGTTCGTAATTGCGATCGTTCGGTATAGCAGTTTTGAGTGGCGCCCTCTTACGACCGTTGTTAGCGAACTGGCATTTCTCACATCCCGCGGCCGCTCGTGCGGAGTTTGCACGAAATTTCAACAAGTGGTGGTTTTTCCCTTCTACTCCTTGTGAAATAAAAGCCACCTGTTACTCTTCAACAGTCAAGTCCGATGTAAGCATGGGCTGTTTGACATTCAGGAATTAATTAATTAGAAATGGCCCAATTAGTGTTTAATATAACCAGTAGATTTTGTTGATCTATTGACTTTTTTTAACAACGATGTTCGGTTCATATTGTACCAAAAAACTGGGAGTCAAGGATGATGTTCGGTATGGCTGAATGTTCGGTTTAGCAGCGTTTTGTATGCGTATGATTTTCTGTTCAGATTGCACATTGCTTGCCAAATAACCAATGACATGGATGAAATGAGCATGGGGACAGATGAAATATAAGAAATTTTTTTTTCCTTCGATTTTTAAACAGTGGCTTACTATTAGACGCTGAAATTCAGAAGCAGAGTGTATGTGAACTGGAAGTTGATGCTGTGGCAATCGACATTCTGAACCGTCATGAACTACAAGGTATTAATTAGCAGCATTTTATTTGTATCGGACAGTTCATGTTGGAGGCAAACTGGAAGTGGCATATGAACCGTCATCATTATGCAAAAAACAGAAGACATTTACTGGCACAACGTTAGCATGAAAACAATTTCATGAGGGCAACGAACAACAAAAGCTTATGTGGTGGTGGTGTTGTACGGTACATTTACACCATGAATTTCAACACCGTAAAAATATAGTTTACAATGAAGTCACTGTGAAACTTTTTTACACTGCCAAGTAAGCTCATTTTCAAGGTGCCAAACTGGGCCCTCAGCAGGGGATATTAGCTCACTCAGTTTCATGAGGTCCAAGGGTCTATTGTTATTCATAACTGTATAGCAGGTCCAGCTTCACTCCACTGAAGGTGTGAAAACCACAGATTAACGGTCTGAGTGATTACAGGATTAGTGTGATTGACAGCTACACTTACTACCCAATGCCCACTGCCCAAGTACACAAAAGCTACAAAGTCTCCTCCTACAAGTATCCAACACCCTGTTTATTGTGATCACCTAATTAAGATTGACAGGCAATGTGCCTTTTTATGAGGAGGATTAGGCCCCAAAGTTGATAAACTGCTCAACGGATTAACGCAACCACAAAGTTAATGAGCTGGGCTCCACAGAAGGCTTTACTGCATTTTCACGGTGTTTTTACTTGACTTTAACATGTCCTGGTTACGTGATGGTTTTCAGGGCGATTTCACCAGATACTTCGCAATGACATCGCCGTGAAAAAAAACTTCACGGTGAATTCATGTCAAATTATATATTCACTCCAAATTCACGGTGTTGAAATTCATAGTGTTATGACTTGGTGTTTAGTGGTTGAGACATAGACTTTGTGGACACATTTTTATAGTGTATATACTCTTATGAAACCAAATGTGTTGAAAAGAAAAAGGTACAGGGAAAACTCCAATCTTTTCCAATCCTATTTTAAAAAGAGATTTTTTTTTCTCAGGAAATACTGAAATGAACCCTGGCCTTCTTGCTATCTACAATGAGGAGAAGGAGAGGAGAGAGGTCAAGGGTCAACTGGATGATCTCCACCCCCCAGCGTCTCCAGGTAGAGTGCAGTCTCAGATACTTTTTTTAAAAATCTGAAAATTGCAGAGTTGTGTATTTTATTTTAATTGTTTATTTTCAAGCATGCAATTCAAGGGAATATACAACATTTGCACACATCAAACAGCAAAACTAGCAAACTATTATGAAATACCTTATTGGACTGTTAGTGAATGACAGTCTAAAGCATCCTGTAAAATCACGGCACCTGGTGTGCTGTCATTTTCAAGATAAATAGCATTTTTGTATGAACAGTGTTGGAAAAAAACTGGCATCTTTTCAGCTGTTTAATTAGGGTGGAGACGCAGGTTCAAATCCGGCCTTTTTTTTTCATGAAAAGTTATCAAAAATCCACAGCAGATTCATGGTTTGTTATTTGTTTTCAGATCGAGGAGTTATAGAAGATACAGACAGCGAGGTGCATGGCAAAGCAAGACTGGCCGATATTATACAGAAACAACTCGATGAATTGTAAGTATGAGTTCAGATTGACAATGAATAGCAAGGCCTTCAGCCGTATTCATAGTAAAAAGAAAACATTATCGGTAACTGGAGATGCTTCAACGCCATTTTTAACTGTTGTAGTCAAGCTCATCGTAAGTCTTTACGGAAGTCTTGGGAACTTCGGCAGCAGTACCCAGAAAATTCTAAGAGTACCACACGCGCGTGCACTAGCTTGCATACAGCGCACTTGAGGTATACCGTACTCTGAATTTCCTGGGTTGCATTTATACTCTGAATTTCCTGGGTAGCGTTGCCAAAGTTCCAAAGTCTCATAATTCATCTTGATTGTTGATAGTGATCTTTACTGCCACAGCGGCAATACTGCGCTTATCGAGATCAGGTTATATAAGAGGAATAAAGTTGAAATCTAGTCTTGGACAAACACTCGTGATTTACTTATAACGACCCCTTGTATTGACCTTTGACCTCTTGATGACCTTTGTAATGACCTTTACCAGGAGGGTGTTGGCCGGAGATGCTGGAGATGATGACAATGAAAGCCTTCTTCATGACACGTTGGCTGAGCCGTCGTTGACTGCCAGCCAGCTCATTGTCCACGACTCCCAGTATGCAGGTTGGTTTGACTTGCTAATATTGTCTTTTGAACCATGATGTCACTATCTGTCAAAACCTGATGATTGTTTGCACAGCTTGGAATGCAAACATAATTTTAAAAATAATGGTAATATAAAAAAGCTCGCAAAAAGGTATTAACGTAGCGCACAAGTTTGACGTTTTTGTACATGCCTGGCAGTTTTATACTGATTCACTCCAATCGACAAATACATGGAGTGAGTTTGTCACACGTTTCTAGGCTTAATATGCAACACAAAAATTCCATCTGCGAATTGAATGCAAAACTTGCCCTGTCTGTAGAAGTATCTGATAATCAGAGCGCTGTTATTTACATTTTTCGATAATTCAACAATCAGTCCTCTTTTTAACAATCTTTGATAATCTGAAACTTTGCTTCAATAAAGACAAAGTATGGCCTACTCATGATAAGATTTATCAAATTCTTGTTTTTTTATCGAATGAAACATTTCCGGATGTCCAGGCGATGAAGACTCGATTTCAAACCCGGAGGAGGAATCTCAGCCTGTGGTCAATGAAGAGCTGGTCCAGTCGCTGGTGGAGGCTTCTCAGCGCAGCAGCCAGTACTCCCAACAAGCAGGTACAGTGTCATTTGTCATTTGTCATTTGTCAGAGTCATTTCCGTCATTGCTGACATTGTTGGATCCCCATACCCAAAAAGATTGCCATTTGTTGTGCACTTCTCAGTTGACGCACTGTTGTCATTTGTCATTTGATCGACATGTTGATTGACACTCTATTGAAATTTGTCAATTGTTGACGTTTGTCATGCAGATGTCATTTTGTTCATGGTTGTGAAGGTTTTTAATTTGCCATTGATCCATCAATAGTCAGACCATGGTGTTTGTCATTTCTTGATGAGGATGCAATTTTTCACTTTGTTTAATGGATCCATTGGTCATGTCATTATCAACTGCGTGTCATTACCCTTTTGTCATTCCGCCATGCTGTCATTTGTTGCCATTTATAACTTTGTAAATTGGATCCATTTGTCATTATTTAATATCATGTATGTGCATCTACTGTATGGCGTTTCTGCCTTGTTCCTCTGTCATGTTTTGTCATTTGTTGTCATTAGTTGTCATTTGTTGTCATTTGTCAACAGTTGGGTTAGACCAAGATCTAGCCCAGTTGCTAGTGGACATGTCTGTCATTTTTGTGTCATTTGTTGTCATTTGTCACCAGTTGGGGAAGACCAAGACCTAGTCCAGGTGCTGGTGGCCATGTCTGTCATATGTTTTTGTCATTTGTTGTCATTTGTCACCAGCTGGGGAAGACCAAGACCTAGTCCAGGTGCTGGAGGCCATGTCCGTCATATTTTTGTGTCATTTGTTGTCATTTGTCACCAGGTGGGGATGATGAAGATTTAGCCCAGTTGCTGGTGGACCTGGCTCAGGACGGTGGTCCGTCCCCAGAAGACGGCAGCATCCTGTCCAGCCAGGACACGCAGGATGAGCAGAGACAGGAGGAGCAGAACAAGGATGAGGACGAGGATGCCAGAGAGTCCTTAGAGATGTCCCAAGCTTGGGATGATGGTTCTGATGGGGAGGATACTGTGGAAGAAAGGTGAGGCTAACAACAACACTACCCCCGTGCACTAGCTCTAAGATTGCTTTGTGTTGCAGACTAGCGCACTGGTAACCAGTTTGATAATCCACTACGCATGCATATTTAACCTGTGCGTGAAACTTCGCGTGCTCACTTGGTTAACAGCAAAACTAGCTGCTGACATGTGATGGTGAATGGACCAGTGAGAACTCGGCTTTTGATCATGAATATGTATGAGGTATAGTAATTTTAATTGCCAAACACCTACAACAACAGCTCTAAAGAAGAGATTCGGTTGCATGTCTATGCTACCTCTACGATATTCATCTGTACAATGTTTGGAATTATATATGAACTGACAACACTAATATTATATCAGATTTGTCATTACTCATGTGTTGAAGGTAAACAGAACTAAATGTTTTGAAAGACTATTTTGCTCTTGCTCTCTATTACAGCACAACTCATGACATATCAGCCAGTGAGGAAGACACACAGGACAGCCAAGCTGTCACTATTCCTCAATTTGACGGGGGCTCCGATGAAAAACAAGGTAAACAGATGCTTGCGAAGCTAGTTCACTGCTCCAGCGAAGTAGGTCCTCATTGCCCTCCCTGTTACCCTACTCCGAATTTCTGCGTCCTCGATCATTTTCTCTCCTCAATCATGCCCACAAATATGCTGTGAATGCCTCCGTAACTGCCTCAAACTCTTTGTTTTCTTTGTTTTTCCGTCAGAACCAGCAAAGAAGAAAAGTCTTGGCATTAAAAGGCAACTTCCCAAGGTCGCTCCCAACTTGCATCAAGATGCTCTGGGAAGCCATGCCGCAACGTTCAGTCCCTTTCCGCCCCAGATCAAAACCTACTCCCACAAAAAGCAGCTTCTGTCCAGTCCAGGAAAGGCTTGGGTCAATACAGGTCTGGCATCCTCTGACACACGGGAAATGCAAAAATCTGTCTTTCAGCGTGCTAGAAAACTTGCCCAGAAACCAGGCATCCGGAAGAAAACCGGAACACCACCTGGGGTTGTGAATCTCCACAAGGTCCCAAAGAAACCAGTGGAAGTCAGACCTGCTGCTGCATCGAAATCCAAACGGAGAAGAATCTTATCAGGAGCTTCTTTGAAAACGCAGTGGCTGCAGGAACTTGCTCGGGATAAACTGTTGTCCAAAGATCCTGGAGCTATCCGGAGCCAATCTTCTTCTGAATGGAAGGTGGTAGAAAAAGTCACCCAAGGGAGGAGTTCGGCAAACCACATCCCTCCAGGAAATGTTCAGGTGGAAGCTTCTTTGGTGAGGGATCCCGCTTCTGACACTAATACTGCTCCACAACATCAAGCAGGCTCATCCAAACTACACCTTGTAAAAGTGCCTTACACAGCAGGCCAAACCCATTTCAAAGGATGTGAGGAGCTTAAAGGATATTCTAGTGTCGGTGATGTGAAGAAGGACCCTATGTGGAACCCTGTTGTTATGCTCATGAAGTGCCCAATCGAAACTGACTCCAAGGGAAGAATCACCTGTTCTGGAACCAGCTTACCGCAACAGCAATTAGAACAGATCCGGAAGGAAAATCTAAAAGCTATGCCATTCCGTCGCAGCAGCTTCTCAAGGAAGATTGTACCCCCAAAAAAGTTTATGGACGAGCAGTACTGGATGGACCAGATAGAGAAAGCATCCAAACAGAAGACTTTAGAACAACTTGGCAGCTCTCCTCAAAAGTTAAACACTGGTTCGACACCCAAAATAAAGCGCAGACGCCCTCATAAACAAATCGAGGAGACAGCAGAGAAGGATAGGGTTCAAGTGACAGTCCCAGACAAATCAGAGGTGCAGAGGGAAGATGCGTCAGAAATTGCCAAAGAACCACCGTGCTTGATGTCACCAGCTCAACTTGCAAGCGTTAAGGACAATCTTCCAATGCCAGTCTTGGAGAAGATAGCAGCCGTAGGCAATGGAATTCCTGCTCAGCAGACATGTCCTGAAAAGCAGACAGTCGTCACAAAGACAAAGGCCATGCTTCAAGAGAAGTACTACAAGAGTTTAAACTCCTCTGACAAACACAGAAAATTGAGTAGGAAAGGCTCACACGGCAAACTTTTCTCAGAGAGAGATGCCAAGAGGTATGGGATGCTCTCAAGAACTTTTAACAAACTCAGTTTGACTCCTCAAGAACCTTGTGGAGAGCCATCATGTATAACAAACTCAGAAGCTGCACAAAGCACAGCTGTGGATCCTGGAATCTCCAAATCTGAGACTTCCAGCCCTGTCACTTCAGTAATTCCAACAAGTAGTAGTATCAGTAATTTTGCAATGACGACCACGCCATCTAGTCATTTGTTGGGGGTAGGTTTATCTCCAGGCCAAAGTAGCAGTTTCACGGCACTCTTTGAACCGTTGGAAACTACCAAGCAGATTAAGAAGAGCAGTCCAGGTTCTAGGAAACGCCGAGGGAGTGACAGCAGTGATGACTGGGCTGAGAGGCGGAAAAGTCACAAACGAAAAAGCAGTCAAGGCTCCAACAGTAACGAGGACCCGTGGATGTTCGGCAGGACCTACGGCTTTCGTAAGAGGGAGAGAATCAGCTACGATGAAGGCGATTTTCCCGACGTCGGGTTTGAGATCATGTGTTGGTCAGATGAAGAGGACTCCGTAGAGCTTCTCCCACAGAGGTCTCATATGCACTCGGAGACAAGAACTACCGAGTTGCTGCCAGAGCCTCAGCCACATCAACAGTCACAACCACTCTCAGAACCGCGTAGGTTTGATAAAACAATGAAATCCAGCAGCTCTGTTCTCCTGGCCTGCAATCAAACAGCAAAAGCAGTACAGGAGCAGCAACAGAGTCCCCCACGTAAAAGAGGACGCCCCTGTGGTAGCAAAAAAAAATCCAAACTCCTCAGTAGTCCCTCATCAAGACACAAGCAGCACTTGTCCTTCACCGTTGACTCATTACCATACATAGGTTCAAAGCCGGATAAAAGTCGAATTGGAACAATGCCAACTACAGCGAGCAATGGCGAAAATCAAATTAAAACTCACAACACCAACTTGGAACCAACCATGTATACCAATAATGTAAAACACAGTTTAAGCCAGATGGAACCAGTTTTCACCACTACTAGCAGTAGTACAACGCAAAGCACCAGCCGGATGGAACCAGTTCCAACCACACCTAGCAATGGCACAAAGCACACCAACTGGATGGAACCAGCTTCAACCACCACTGGCAATTGTGCAACGCACAACAACAGCTTGATGGAACTTGCGCAAACCAGATCAGCGAAGCCAATCATGATTACCGCCACTAGCCACAGCTCATTGGGTGGACCATTGCCATCCATACCCACAGCTACCCAAGCCAAGGTGGTTCAGTCAGATACCAGGCAATCACCTGTGACCAAGGCAACTGATAGCCAGTTGTCCACAAGTGTCTCCACAAATGACCAACACCGGCCTCGCTCTAGACCTGAACCTGTCCCTACCACTGTGAATGGGCATCATTCCAGCATCCATGATGACGACAGTGAGCCCACTCTCTACAGGGACGCCATGTGGAACCTGGGTTACTTTTCTCCCCACAGAAATGAAAGAGAGGGCTCACCGCCCAGGTGCTGGTCACCAAGTATCGACAGGGATAGCTCAAGGAGGGCACAACATGCTTCTGAAGGCATTGTTGAGATAACCCCTAAGCATAAACCCTCCAAGGTACAGAAGCCTTGGGAAAGAATGAAACTGATCGATCAAAAGAAAGAGTCTAAGAAGAAAGCCGCAGATACCAACAGGGGGAAGTCGCAGAGTGGTACTGCTGGCTTGAAGGGGAAGAATCAAACAGATTACACGCAGCTGAATACCTCCAACTCCAGGACCTCCAACAGTAGAAGCAGGAGTCCAGAGTCTAAACATTTGTGCAATACTGACAATTTTGATGAAGGTGAACCGGTGAGAAGTGAAACTTTTGAGGACAAGCAAGAAAACAAGATGGAAGTTGACCAAACTAAGGCAGATGTCACAAGTGAAGAACAGAAAGAAAGTACACACACAGACGGCCACAGAGGCGTGGAAGCTTCCCGTCAGGAAGAAGCAAGGAATGGCTTTACCTCCTGTGGGAACTCGCATCCTGATGACTTGGCCAACGAAAACAATTACAAAACTGAAACTGGCAATAACGAAATCCCAATCCTGAGCTCAGAAAGAGCCGACAAAACATCTAACCCTACTTCATCTCAAACCAAGCCAGGTGACTCTCCAGAGTTGAACAACACTCTAAACTCCTGTACAACTCTCAAGGAAGCTGATGTCGATGTTGGAGGTACTCATGAGGAGAGAAAGGAAGTTGCATTGGGTAGTGTACAAAGTAGCAGAGTGGCCTTTTCTGAGAAAACCGAACAGTCTAGCCCTGTACAACTCTCACTTGATTCTAATGATACAACTAATGTCTTGGCATCAGTCGTTGGGGTTAAAAATCTGGAAAAGAATCAATCGGTGGACGTGTTGACAAATCTGACTGCAACTCAGAATGGGGTAACTGCTGTCACTGAAAATGCATCTCCTGATGATAGTGCATTAATGTTTGCGGAGGACAGTGAAGCATCAACCCCAAGCCCAGACACAAAGAAAGCGGCATCATTACATCCATCTCATCCAGAAGTTGCCAAAATGTCACAGAGTGCTGGTCATTCAGATGGTTATATGACCTGCGTTCACGGCCAAGCCCAGATGCCTCAGAGAAAGAGTCTGGATGACTGTGCTAATTCCTCTGCGATGTCTGATATTCAGACCTCCGACTTGGATTCAAGTTCCTCTGCCACAGGGTCTGAACTTCTTTCCAAGCCGAGTTCTGGTACCGAAGCGGAACACAGACCCCTGTCACCGGATGTGAAGGCCTTGGGTGATGGAGGCACTCCAAATGCCAGGAGTCTCAGTTCGTCCTCTGATGACATCACACCAGCACAGAGGTTGCGCAGATCTCCCAGCCAAGAAGTGGAAGAAGAGGATAGCGATAACATCTGTAACATGTCCCACGGCTCCAGCAGCACAGGTGCATCATTGTCACTAGACATGTCTCTGATCATCAGCCGTGTACCTTCCATTTCCCCAACCAGAGAATTACTAGAGTCAGAGAGAAGCTCCTTGCAACAGGACCCACCTGGATCCCCGGAAGCTGTTCAAGAGAAGATCACCAAAGATTATCAAAAGACAGAACAGAAGGCAAGTTCTGTGTCCGAGACAGCAGATCATTGGAGCCAATTTGGGGAATCATCGGGTGCTCTTGATTTGTCTCAAGACACATGGAGTACACAAGATGCAGTCTTGAAAGAAACAGGATCAGATCATCAAAGGAGTCGACATCCATCTGATCATGTCCTAATGGATGATGGAAGTCTGACACCCACTTTGATTTCGGGTAAACAAACAGATTCTTCTGGTCTCAGTGCATGCAGCTTTAGTGAAATCAGAATCACATGTGCAAGGACACTTAAGAATGGCTCAGTTGCTGTTGGGGAAGACCAGACTAAAAGGCATCTCCTATCGGGCAGCAACAGTGATGATTCTGATACGTTTTCACAGCTTGTCTGTCCGGAAACTCCTTCACCAAGAGCCTCACTTGATCCTCACAGGTCCTCCCAGAAAAAGCCCTGTTCACAGTCAGATACCCCATCCTCTGGCAGACCGATACCAGTCACAAATGAAAGCAAGACACAGAGATATCTATCATCTCCGGCCGTTGAAAAGTTAACAGTGAGCAGCACAGGTGATGCCTGCGAAGAGCCCTTGAACCTTTCGTCCCCAACAAAGAAGGAATCAGCACTCAAGTTGAATTCGCCCAGTTCTCCAAGAATTGTTGAAGAGGCTGACTCAGATGAAGAGGTGGAGGCAATGGAGATTGACTTGTCTCAAGAGGAGAGTGGAAGCCTAAACCTGTCTACGCGACACTCTCCATCATACCAGGTAAGGGAGTCACATGAGCAGTCCCAACATCCAGAAGATATTAGGCATCTCCACAGAGACAGAGAAGCTACAGATAGGACCTCTACCGCGACTAAGTCTGAATGGTCCTCATCACTTAGTGGTGAAGATCCCACTGTTTACTCTGGTCATCATTTTCAGCCGCCTGCACACTCGGACAGCACTGTAACAAAGAAGACTGCCATCAATCAAACTTCTCAGCCAGGTCGCAACGACGAAAGTCTAACTTCACCACCAAGTACGGACCAGACACAAACATCTGCCTTGCACCAAGATTCCCTGTTGTCTACAAGGGAAATACCAGTATCCTCGGCATTCTCTGCTCACCCTAGTCAGCAAACAGACAGAGGCCATCAGCACAAGAATAACACCCATCCAGTAGAAGATGATGTAGAGGATAAGGCTGTCCAAAACCAGGCTCATGACAGCTCACAAAGTACTCCAGTCTACCCAGGACCTCCACTAGCATCCTCTCTAGAAAGCGATAACCAAAACACTAATCAGACGCAAAACACACATCAGACTACCTCCAGAGCAGAAGAAATGCCAAACCTGACGTCGTTTACGGAGGCAAAGAGCACAATTTGGACACCTTCACATTGTCCCCCAAGTGCTGAGATGGTGCGGGCATCTCTGCAAGAGTATGGCCTGCCTCAGTTCCACCACCAGAGGGCATTTTGCGGGAATCCAGATGACGCACACCATCCAAGGTAATTGTCAAGTGTTTCTTACTTTGAGCTCTTAACCTATTGGTCCCTGCACTGCCCCACAGCGCACTGCCTGATACTCCCTGTTCTGCCCAAAACCGCCCTAAGCACTGGACAGTTCGCAGGAGTGATCAGCGAATAAATATAATGTATTACAATGAAGTGCAGGTGCTTAATGTGTTTCTTCCTCATATGAAACAGCAACAGGTCTTTGTGATGAAACACCACAATATGTTAAAACAGTCATTAATTTCTCCGCTCCAGAAAAATAACAAGGTTTAATGTTATCTTTTTCGCAGTAAACCTGGTGTGCACAATGATGGTCATCTACAGAGCAACCTCCCATCCCGCCTCCCCGAGGCAGAGAGTAGACTCTCCCAGACTGGCCTCGGCCAATGGCAGGCCAACCTGATGGCCCTGCAGCCACACCCCTTGCTGTCGGCTAGCAATGTGGCCCCCGAACCTGGATTAAAAGCTGCATTGCTCGGGGAAGCTGATGCTGTGATCACGCCTTGTAGATCTCCGCCGAGCTGTGCGTTGGTTCGGACTTGGTTGGAGGATAAAAACGACAAGCGCCCTGAAGATGCGAAATATGGTGACAAAGAAACCAATGGCACACAGCTAGCTGAAAAGCCAGTCAAGGAAAAGGTAACTCGTTTTGATCCTGCCAATAAGACCTCCAGCTCTAAAGGCCCCAGTCAAGGCTTCCCTGAAGAAGTCTCACAATCAAATCAGGATAGGAGGCAAAGTGCAGCGTCTGCGACACAGGCTTGCCAACAATTGCAAGACGAACCATCCACCTCTAAGATACAAACACCAAAGGGATATTTACCCCACTGGCAAAAGAACAGCACACCTTCAACCAAACCCGACTCTACCCCACAAGGAGGCTCCCCGTTTTCCAGCCCCACCCCTTGGAAAAAGAACAGCATTCAGCCCCGATTGAGCACGCCGGGGACTAACCCATTATCCAGGAGGGGGAGCAGCCAGCCTCAGCACAGTACCCCTCTGAGAGTCGACCCAGGGACAGTGGAAGCCAGTTTGCCACTCACCCCCATCAGTGGATGGAAGCGACCCTTGGATCCATCCTCAGCAGGTGGATCCAGAGAAAGGCATCCTTCCTCATCCAGCATGAGACAGACGTTGCTCTTCACTCCAAAAGAGGTATTGATACGTCTCAGAAAACCTAAACACATGAAAAGAAAGACCTATAAGTTTTATTCTTTGAAAAAGCAAAATTGGGGAACTTCCAACATAGGGCTGGATAGCTCAGTTGACAGAGCACCAGACCGGCAATTTGGAGGTCGCAGGTTCAAACCCTACTCCAGTCAATTTCTTTGTTCAACTTTATAAAAAAAACTGTCTGGATACACATGCTTCTTGATCAGTGGCATTGTGGATTTATAGTACATGCCAGTTCCCTCTACCGCATACAACTTTCTCTTCTAGTGTCTTGCGTTGACTTTGTTCATGTTATTAGTTGCCTGTTTCAGGTCTATTATCTTACAAGCACTTGTGGTTAAACAACATATGAGGGCTGTGTCATCGCAGCTTTGTAAACAAAAACTAAATAAACCAAGAAATAGGAAATACTTTGGTGAATGTCAAAATATTTAAACCCGTGAGATTACATCCTTCAAGGGATACTAGCAAACTCAAAACATTTTTTTATCTTTGGAATTCATTTCGGTTTGGTTTGCAGAGCTCTGGAGTCGGCGGGCCAGGCCGGGAGATGTCTCAAATAGAAGGAGCCACGCCCAGCAACACGTGCGGCTTCAAGATGCCACAGCTGAACATGCAGGATGCCAAGACGATGCATGAGGTTGGCTGATCACTATGATGGACTGTGTTTTTGGTTGATCAGAACAAAATTCACATGAATTTATTTAGCAGATGATAGTACAAACTATTGGACGATAGTATCACTTCAGCTTTTTGCTGTTCCAGAGAGGGGCTTGCGTTGTATCTGCTTTGTACCTAAGGCCAAAAAAAAAAGTCTCCAGTTTCTGGTATGGAGCTTGGCCCAAAAGTGGTGCGGCGACGCGGGTTTTTTTTTTCCCCCTGCTTTTTTTTTCTTCAAATGTCGGCTGATGTTGCAGATGACGCGTAGTCTGTGAATTTATTTAATCGCCAATCCGAACCAAATGAATAGAACTTTGTGTGCTCTGGGACCAGCTTTACTAGGTAGCCTCGTCTTGTTTTCCGTGTCATACAGGTGCAGCATCTGACTGTCCTGAGCTTGGAGCTTCACGTTAAGACCCGACGTGACTATTGCCCAGACCCTGACTTTGATCCCATCCGAGCTTTGTTCTATAGTATCCAGCATGACAAGCCAGTGCAAGACAGTGCAGGGTGCAGCCAGCAAGATGATGGTAATAGTTTTTTTTTTTTTTTTTTTAACTGATTTTTTTTTTTTTTTTTTTTTTTTTTTAATAAGCTATTTGCGAGTAACCTATACCCTTTGGGATTTACATTTGAAAAACATCTGGTACACTGACTTGCTCAGAATGCTTGGCACATTTTAACTTCTCCATTCTCCAGACCAAAGACGCTGTTGCTAATCACATGATTCGGGGCAAGCTCTTGCGTGGTTACGTAAGAGACGCTCAGCACCAATACATTGTTCACACTGGGTGGGAACGGCACAAAGACACCAGACCATTCCGGAGCTGGGGGTTGCTAGCATAAGGCTTGCCCCGTATCACGTGATAGGGTAACAGTCTCTTTGGTCAGGAGAATGCGAAGTTTAAACGTGCAAAGCATTGGATTAAGTCAGCGTTCCAGATTTTATTCGAATATAACTTGCAAATGGCTTTATTACAACTTTTTAAGCAATACAAAGGCTATTCAATGTATATCTGTGTTTTGTTTTTTCCCTATTATTATTTTCTGTGTAAGTGCCAAATAATCCAATCCAATCGTTGCATTGCATGAGAAATCAAAAAAAAAAAATAAATCAGCACGCAATGTTATAATTATTGTGACGTCAAATCAAAAATGTCGGCCCACATACACTTACAGAATGTTTACTTTATTGAAAATGTTTACTTTTATATATTTTTTTCTTTTCTGCGAAAAACAAAATCCAGGTTTCATCCATGGCGTCGTCATCGTTGACGACAGTAACCATGGCAACGGAGGCGGCGCATCCACCTCATCCAGTGCTCAGGCCTCCCTGGCCCACGCTGGCATCAGCAACGTCTTCATCAAATGGGTTGCCACGGAAACGGACCTGCTGGATGAACTCTTGGCCATCATCAGGAAGTGAGTTTTGAAATTGTTCTAACCCTGCGAAAAACAGGGTTGTTTTAACCCCTTAATCTTAGTTATTTCACCGGAACTGTCTTCGACACCACAAACCATTCAGGCAATTTGAATCATAACTTTAGTATTCCTTGGGCACAAAGGACCTTTTTTCCAAATTTTTTTTCACCAACTTATCAATGAGAAACTAGTTTCTACTGTTCAGAAAGGTTGTATTTGTGTCTTCATCTCTGGTAACCAATAGCCGCGCGCATTCATAACGCTAGCAGAGAGCCAGGATCCAGAAGTTTTGCAATGACATTTTGACCAGCATTTGACTAGAGACGTTTGCGCGTTGCTATCAGTGCGCAGGCGTAAGGTACGTCACAAATCAACCATTAGTCGACTAATGGTCCTTGCCCGAACTTGGCCATAGATGATTCGGGTACTATAACTGGACAAGTGAATTAGTTCTCCGGCATTTTCAGTCGGGTATCGGGCTCCCAGATAGCCGTCCCAGCTCTAACAAAGCCCTTCCATTACTGTGAAAGTTATCTGCTAGGGAGTCAGGTTGACGCAGTGGTTTCGTTCCTTCCACCGCTGTGGCCTGGGTTCGATTCCTGCCCAGACCACATGTGGATTGGGTTTTCAGTCCCTACCTGATTCCGTGGGTTTTCCCCAGTATATTCTTCGGGGGTTTTCCTCCCACCTCTAAAACTGTAATTTCTTCTCATTGTCTTTTCTCTGCAGGTTTCTTCAGGCTTGCGAGCTGCACTGCCTAGGGCACTTTTTTTTTAGGAGTCCTTGGTTTCATTACCAGAAATAAGTACTAATAATGGTTAATAATGGATATATTTCTTGACCAGGCACGATCCAGACATCTTGGTGGGCTATGAAGTCCAGCAGCTTTCCTGGGGCTATCTGCTGCAACGAGCTGCCTTCCTGGACATGGACCTGTGCACCCAGATCTCAAGATTACCTGGTAAGTAGGGTACAGGAGCTACCGAGCGCACAATTCCACCAAACAAATTTTGCCAAGCGCGATTTTTTTTTAAATTTAATTGAGCTGTAACAACCGCAAAATAACTGTAAAATCCCTGACGTTGATAAAAGCCTTACTGTCGAAATATTTTAACAAAAAGACCTCATTTGTTCCTTGAGGATAATGCATAAATGTATTAAAGATAAGGCTAAGGGAAAGAATTTTTTTTGAAAAATATTAAAAGGGTTGTCCCTTTTTTTAAATCCCCCCAACAAAATGGCAAATATTCCAAGATGGCGGATGTCTTCTTCCATTTTCTTGACTCTTTTGCTCATACTAAAATTGTGAACAAAGAAGCCGTCAGCATTTCTACCAGATTTTCAACGTGCATACATAGCTAAAAATAAAACAAATAAGACGACAGAATGTATGGAAAATGTATGATTTAAATTTTAAAAAAAAGAAGAGGCGGGTAGAAAAGAGGAAGCAGAAAGGGGCGAGAAACGGGTTTATTTTATTACTTGGCCTGAGCGCCATGACAAATGTATACATATTATCCACTGTGTGAAGTCGTAAATCATTCACAGAAACGGTTTTGTGATCGCTTCATATTCAGTCGTGCTTCTCTTTTGTTCCAGACTTCAAGAAGGAGAGTAGTTTCTCGGCGGAGCGGGATGCGTACGGAGCGGACCACCAATCGGAAATCAACATCGCAGGCCGCATCACTCTGAACCTGTGGCGGCTCATGAGACACGAGGTCGAACAAAATATCAAACTTATTTGAAGTGTTTTCCTTTGTTTGTAAAATAAGGAAATACAATTAGGAGTGTTTCATGAAACTCTCTAAAGTTTCAATATATATTACTAACAAGCACCAAGTGGTACAACCCACGGCAGTTCCACGAACAGTACTACCACAAATTTTGCAATGCAATTGGGCGTGATCTAATATGCAACTAAGATGCATGCGCATCAGTGTCGCAAAGCTGTAGGTATTCCATAGTAACTCACTGGCAAAGCTGTGATACACGCATGGCATGGAACAGTGTAATACTGTCCACCAACCAACCAACCCACCGACCAACCGACCAACCAACATAAGCAGCTCAAGCCCATGGCATGTTTCACTCTGCCGTGGGAAAAACACCAAAAAAACTCCAGATGAATGTTTTTATGTATTTAACATTGTTTCAAAGTTTTTACTCATTTCTGTTGAACTGTAAGATTATTTTGGTGTGTGATTGTTTAACTAGGTGGCCCTGACTAACTACACGTTTGAGAACGTTGCGTTCCACGTCCTGCATCAACGTGTGCCTCTCTTCACCTTCCGTAAACTGACCGACTGGTTCGACCACCGAAATGCGCAACTATTCAGGTTGGTTTTAGTTTCACAACAGCCAGACAAATATTCTTCCGTTGATTGAAGATAATTTTACAAGTGTTATTTTAGTTATTTCAGTTAAGAGACGTTAAGGACGTTTCCCTTTTTGTTTTTAAAATTATGATTTACTCTTTGGGACCTGCAAGTGGGGCCAATACATAGTATAGGTTTTGCCATGTTGCCCCAGATACCATGGGTATTGCCGCGTTGCCCAAAATTCAACAGCTTTTGCAACGTTGGCTAGAATACCATGGCTTTTGCCACCTTGCCCAAAATACCATTGCTTTTGCCACCTTGCCCAAAATACCACGGCTTTTGCAACGGTTGCTAAAATACTGTAGCTTTTGCCACCTTGCCCGAAATACCATAGCTTTTAATTTTACCATGTTTCCCAAAATACCATAGCTTTTGCCATGTTGCCAAAATAGCAACAGCTTTCGCCATATTTCCCAAAATACTATAGCTTTTGCCATGTTGCCCAAAATACCATAGCTTTTTCTACGTAGCCAAAATAGCAACAGCTTCTGCCACATTGCCCAAAAATGCCATAGGTTTTGCCATGTTACCATAATGACAACAGCTTTTGCCACGTTGCCAAAAATACCATAGTTTTTGCCATTTTTGCCCAAATGAACACCACTTTTTCCACTTTGGCCAAAGTACCATACCGTAGCTTTTGCCATGTGACTTATTTAACTGTTTTGTTGAGGCCAAAAATACATACAATATCTTTTTTCTGTGTTGCCGAAAGTTCATTTTTTCCCGCCTGGCCCAAAGTACCGAAGCTTCGACCATGTTTTCTACTAGAGAAAACCATTTTTTTTCTCAAAATGGCAAGAAATTTATATCGACTTGTTTCAATGTTGACCTTTTTTGTTGCAGATGGCGAGTGATAGAGTACTACTCAGTCAGGGTCCGTGGATCTCTCAAACTTCTCCATCAGTTGGATTTGATCGGCCGGACCAGCGAGTTAGCCAGGGTCTTTGGCATTCAGTTCTACTCGGTGCTCTCCAGGGGATCACAGGTAAAAAAATTCTGGGAGAGCTTGAATTTCAAAGACAACTTTGGAGTATTTTTATTTGATAAAATATAGATGCTTGAATTCATAAGATAAAATGTGACCTGCCGTGGCATAATGAGGAATAACTTCCATCCTTTACTTTTAAGTTTTAAATACCATGTAAAAGAGCAACTCCCTGTAGCTTGCTAATGTTACCAAATTGATATCTGTGGCTTAATTTATTTCAAAGATATGTTGCGAGAAAGTCGGCAATGCGTCGCAAACTTCTGCGACCTTATTTTGAGAAAAAGCAACTTTAAAAAGTTTACGTTGCGCATTGCAAGCTTATGTGTGACATGTACTTACATACACATTCGGGACGGTTTTTTCCATTGTAACACTTTCTGAGAGCGTGCGCTGTAGGCTCGCGCTCACAGATTGGATCAGTGCTGCAATACCTCACGTATCTAAGTAAACGACACTTGCAGCGCATGCTCTATTGCCCGTTCATACGATGTGGTCCAATCAGATGGTGTTATTTTCATTACGAAGTGTGAATCTTGAATACCTTGGCTGCTCAAAAATACAAAAAACTCCAGATCTATTTTGGAACAATTTTTCACACGATCCAACTTCAGGTGCTGATTACTCAAAACAAGTTTTTGGGATACATTCCTCATTTAGCCGCAGTAGGTCACAAATTTGCATCGGGGTGATGTAAAACATACACTCCTGGATTCTGGATTTCAGTAAATGGTTCATTTTATTTGTGTGTTTGTGTACAGTTTCGCGTTGAGTCCATGATGTTGAGGACAGCGAAACCACAGAACTACGTTGCCATGTCACCCAGCGTGCAACAACGCTCAAGGTAAAGATAAAATTGCATACAGTAAACTAAAAAAAATGTCACGTCTGTCTAAATTTACAAGAAGAATTCTTGTTTACCTGGGGCTAGCATTACGGATCTATGGGAATACAAATCTTTTGATGGAAAGGTTGTGCATGGTTTTCCACAGTTTTCTCGAAAAAGTGTAATATTCACCGAGCTGAAACTTTAACAGGTTTTGAACATCCGATTTGGAGTGGTGTAATTATTGGAAACAAACAAAACACACAAAAGCAAATGATCCTCTGAACTGATACAAGTAATGGCTGTATTTGGGAGCATTTTTCATTTTCCGTGACGTAGAATGAAGGCACCGGAGTGCATCCCGTTGGTCATGGAGCCTGAGTCTCGTTTCTATCAGGATCCTGTCATCGTGCTGGATTTCCAGTCTCTCTATCCTACCATGATGATTGCTTATAACTACTGCTACTCTACGTGCCTCGGACGCTTAGAACACATTGCCAAGTAAGACAGTGCAGATTGTAATTACACATTCATTTTAAATGCAAACAGCCAGCCTATAGTCTGCTGTACGTCACTGACTATCTCACTGACGAAGTGACTGTCAGTTGTGAGCTGGGCAGTGCTATTGTATAGGATTACCCCCTAAGGCCACTTTTGCTGGCCCACGAGAGGGCCAACCTATAGTCCGCTGTATTCACTGACTGAACACCAACTAACTAAGTGACTGTCACTTGTGTGCCGGGCAGTGCTATTGTATAGGATAACCCGCCTGTAATGCCATTTTTGCTTGTCCATCCGTGACTCACTAACTGACCCTCACCTGTGAGCCGGGCAGTGCTATTGTATAGGATAACCCTGTAAAGCCATTTTTGCTTGTCAATCCCTGACTCACTAACTGACCGTTACTTGTGAGCTGGGCAGTGCTATTGTATAGGATTACCCTGTAACGCCATTTTTGCTTGTCAATCCCTGACTCACTAACTGACTGTCACTTGTGAGCCGGGCAGTGCTATTGTATAGGATTACACTGTAACGCCATTTTTGCTTGTCAATCCCTGACTCACTAACTGACAGTCACTTGTGAGCCGGGCAGTGTTATTGTATAGGATTACACTGTAACGCCATTTTTGCTTGTCAATCCCTGACTCACTAACTGACCGTCACTTGTGAGCTGGGCAGTGTTATTGTATAGGATTACACTGTAACGCCACTTTTGCTTGTCAATCCCTGACTCACTAACTGACCGTCACTTGTGAGCTGGGCAGTGCTATTGTATAGGATAACCCTGTAAAGCCATTTTTGCTTGTCAATCCCTGACTCACTAACTGACCGTCACTTGTGAGCTGGGCAGTGCTATTGTATAGGATTACCCTGTACTGCCACCTTTGCTTGTCCCTGTGAGCCAGGGTGCTATTGTATAGGATGACCCCGTAATGTCACTGTTCCCGGTCCCAGAGAGGGCCATTCTATAGTCCGCTGTACCTCACTGACAGACGCACTGACTGACTAATTAACTGACTGTCAGCTGTGAGCCGGGCAGTGCTATTGTATAGGATTACCCCATTATACCAGTGAATTCGACCAGATGCATGACTTCCAATAAATAACCATTCTGAATCAATTGAATAGAATTTTTGGGGCTCTGGGGCCAACTCTACTTAAAGTTTGCCTTAGCTTGTTTTAGGTTTTTGGTTTTTTCCATTTAATTTACCTTCTATAATTTGTGAGTTGGGGAAGTTCAGTAAATGAATTGTTTTCGTAAGACTGAATTCAATTGTCTTTTTTCCCAAGTGGTGGGGAGTATGCCCTGGGATGTGGCTCTCTGTCTGTCTCCGTGTCCCAACTCAAGAAACTCTACCAGTCTGACAGCCTCCACGTCTCCCCCAACGGCATCGTGTTTGTCAAGCCCAGTGTCCGCCGTGGTGTCCTACCAATGTAAGTGTGCTGTCTGAATTCAGTTTGAGAAACCATTGCATTTAACAATCTGTTTATGATATCATTTTGAAGCATCATATCTCACCGAGAGCGAAATGTTGTATCGCTTAAAAACTATTTTTTGGTCTCTTCACAAAAACAATGATAACTTGTTTGCAACTTTAACCACCATGGTGTGATAGAGTTTAGATTTAATGAGGACCACAAGAGAAAAACTAAATATCACCTTTTTTTCTCTAAGTGTGAATTTTGGGGCCCAACTCAGTTCATAACTTGGACGAATTCTGGACGAGTTAAGGTAGAATGATTCTTTTTGTCTTGAAGAAGCTCTGCACTTGTCACGGACATGTTCCGGAGAAATTTACATGAGCAACGGCTAGACTCACCAATATTGATCACTTCATTGCGGGAAGACTGCGGGGAAGTTGCTCAGAATCCTGCAACTTATACCCAACACAAGGTCCGCAACTTGTCCGAAACTCGTCCTGAATAGAATTGAGACAGGCATTAGGCTAAAATCAAAATATGCCACGATTTGTTGGCTCGGCCTTCATGAAATACAATTTGAAAAAGCTTCTGTTTATTTCATAACAGTTGAGATTTTAATTCAATGTGGAATTAAAGGGAATATACAACATTTGCAAACATCTAAAAACGAAACTTCCAAATTTACATGACATACCCTTACTGGACTGTAAGTGAATAATAGTCTCAAGCATCCTGTGAAATCATGGCACCTGGTGTGCTGACCTTTTCAAGAAAAGTGGTATTTTTGTATCAATTTCTAACGCTAGTCGGCCGACCAGGGTTGGAAAAAACTGCCCCCAATTTACCATATACATGAAGTAGGTCCGCAGCTTGTTTGCAATTGATTACACACCTATGAATGGGTACACGCCAGCCGACCATATAAGGATTAAAAAGAATTGAGGGTAAACAATAAAATATCTTTCTGTGATGTTTTTATTTAAACGCAGGATGTTGGAGCAAATTCTCAAACTCCGTCTCATCGTCAAGAAGTCTCTCAAGGACTTTAAGGATGACAAGGTAAAACAATGAAGCAGATTACTCCCAGAACTGCATTAACACTTGGTTTTGACAGAAGGATCAAAACACATTTTTCTAGAAGGGGCAGGAACGAGTCTACCCTGTAAGATTATTTTTGGACCACAAATATTTCAAACTTTGTTAAGTAGTTTTTCCATAACATATAACGTGGGCCAATTTTTCTATTTTTTGGGCTGATGTCTCATTCAAAAGTGCACAACCTTTTGTACTGCTGGAAATGTAATAATTCAAAGACAAAATATGTATTTTTATTTATTTGTTTTCTTTTTTTTGTATACATGGTGTATTTACTTTTTTGTTTTTGATTCTTGCTCAACAGACGCTACATCGCATGTTGAACAGCCGACAGCTGGCTCTTAAGTTGATAGCCAACGTCACCTACGGCTACACATCGGCAAACTTCTCTGGGCGAATGCCATGCATCGAGGTAGGTCCCAAACCAGACCCTACTAGTTAACATCATGGTTTGGATAATATAAAGATAGCGTCCATTTGTAATTTGTGCATTTTGTTCGTTTGAAGCAACAAAAGTGCTCAAAATCTTAAGAAGGGTGCTGAACAACTAACCTGATGAGGTTTTATCTCAGTGAATGCTGTATGTTCCGAGAAAACAATAATCTAGGATCTCGATTTCAAATCAAAGTTGTTGAGTCATGTTTTTGAATTGGGCCTGAATTCAGCGTCTGAGACACGTTCTCACTGAGCTGATTGCAGCTATGCGATGTCGCGCACTGAACCGACGAATTACAGCAACTGCGCGCGCGTGTGCATCTTGTCAACGCTTGCGCGCGCTTCGCCGAATTTAAAACGAACTATTAACGGAAATTTCCAAGAAAGCTTCTTTAGACCCATCATTGGAAATGGCCTTCTTTCGTTGTTTTTTTCAAAATGAAAGCTTGCCAGAAAGAATAATTTCACAGGGAGTTTAGTCCCATCACTATCTATAAAACCAAGTATGCTTTACAGCAATAATTACGTCAGTTACTTTTTGGATAGCTGCAAATGATGGGCTGTAGCTTTAAATTAGCCATTTAAAAAAAAATAATTTATGTATAATTTTGTGCAAAGAAGAGAGTGTGCCAACTGTTTGACTTTCCGTCGTTTTTGCTTTTTGTCTGACAGGTTGGTGACAGCGTGGTGAGAAAGGGACGTGAGACACTGGAGAGAGCCATTCATATGGTGGAAAGCACTAAGAAGTGGGGAGCCAGAGTGGTTTATGGGGACACGGATAGGTGGGTACATAGATTCCTGTGGGACTGCTATGGGATTGCCATGGGGGAGGGTCGTCTAGTGGTTAGAGTGGTTTATGGGGACACGGACAGGTGGGTACATAGATTCCTGTGGGACTGCCATGGGATTGCCATGGGATTGCCATGGGATTGCCATGGGATTGCCATGGGATTGCCATTGGATTGCCATGGGATTGCCATGGGATTGCCATGGGATTGCCATGGGATTGCCATGGGATTGCCATGGGGGAGTGTGGTCTAGTGGTTAGAGTGGTTTATGGGGACACGGACAGGTGGGTTCATAGATTCATGTGGGACTGCCATGGGATTGCCATGGGATTGCCATGGGATTGCCATGGGATTGCCATAGGATTGCCATGGGATTGCCATGGGACTGCCATGGGATTGCCATGGGGGAGTGTGGTCTAGTGGTTAGGGTTTGTGACTCGTAATCAGAGAGTCAGGGGTTCGAATCCAGCCGCTGGCCATATGTGTGTCCTTGGGCAAGCCACTTCACCCCCCTTGCCTCTCTCCACCCAGGAGTATGAATGGGTACCGGCATTAGCTGGTATCCCATCCAGGGGGAATACAAGTATCTCAGTCGTTTCATGTCTAAGAAACCGGAGAAAAACGCCGGCGTGATGAGTTGGCTCATGTCAGATGTTACTTACTTTACTTACTGATTTGCTTCCGTTTTTTCTTCACAGCATGTTTGTGTTGGTTGAAGGAGCGAGCAAGGAGCGTGCCTTTGAGGTCGGGAGGGAGATCCGAGATGCTGTCACGGCTGCCAATCCCAAACCGGTCAAACTCAAACTGGAAAAGGTCTGTAATAAGTGGACATCCTGTCCCATTGCTGATCAAATATAACATTCCCTCATCCACCCTGTCAACCTTAAAGGCATATAGGATCATTTGCTTTTCATGCATTTTGCTCGTTTCAAATAAAAACACCACTCAAAATCCAAAGAAGAATGTTCAGAACCTAACCTGTTGAAGTTTCAGCTCAGTAGATATTACACTTTTCGAGAAAGCAGTGAAAACCACGCACAACCTTTTGATCAGTACGATTTTGTCTCTTCACTCTTCATTTCCAAAAAATCTGTCGATCGACTGATCGTTGGAAATCACGTACATTTCTTGATTTCTTCTAAATGACAGCAAGCCAGATGGAATAATTTCACGGGGTGTTTATAGTACCAGTGCAATCTTTAATCCAAGTAAGCTTTTTTATAATATATGTGGTAGTCTACTTTTGGGATACATGCTAATGAACCTCTGTGTCTTTAACCGGAAAAGTATTTTGTCACTTATTATGATTTCTGATAATCTTTTGCATTCTGCAGGTTTATCATCCGTGTGTCTTGCAATCCAAGAAGCGTTACGTTGGCTACAGCTACGAATCGCCTGACCAGGTTGAGCCCGAGTTTGATGCTAAGGGGATTGAGACAGTACGCAGAGATTCCTGTCCTGCGGTTGGCAAGGTATTTTCTCCGTGACAAATTGTGTGGCTCTGTCGGGAAACCAGTATTTTTGGTGTGATTGACTTGTCATTGACTTGTCGTTGCTCAAGTCAATCCCAAGTCAATCCCAAGTCAATCCCAAGTCAATCACAAGTCAATTACAAGTCAATCACAAGTCATCACAAGTCGATCACAAGTCCATCACAAGTCAATCACAGGTCAATCACAAGTCAGTCATAAGTCAATCACAAGTCAATCACAAATAAACGTAAGTTATCACAAGTCAATTACAAGTCAATTACAAGTCAATCACAAGTCCATCACAACTCAATCACAAGTCCATCACAAGTCCATCACATGTCCATCACAAGTCCATCACAAGTCCATCACAAGTCCATCACAAGTCCATCACAAGTCCACCACTTGTCCACCACTTGTCCATCACAAGTCCATCACAAGTCATCACAAACAATCACAAGTCCACACAAGTAAATCAAAAGTCATCACAAGTCAATCACAGGTCAATCACAAGTCAATCACAAGTCCACAAGCCATCACAAGTATATCACACGTAAATCACAAGTCATCACAAATCCATCACAAGTCATCATTAATCACTCAAGTTTTCATATCACATCAAAAGTCATCACAGGTCAATCACAAGCCAGCACAAGTCATCAAAAGTCAGTCAAATGTCATCACAAATCATTCACAAGACATCACAAGTCTATCATAAGTCATCTAGTGTCATTAAGTCGAGTGACAAGCTTTGGCACAGTACTCAAACTGAGACTATATTTCAGTGCTGAAGTCCTTGTTTTTCCACTTTTAAGTAGCTGCAATCTTTCTCCTTCCAGATTCTTGAGAGAGCCCTGAAGATCCTCTTCACCACGCGGGACGTGTCCCAGATCAAGCAGTACGTCCAGAAACAATTCCAGAAGATTCTGGACGGCCAGGCCACCATGCAGGACCTGGTCTTCGCCAAGGAGTATCGCGGCAAGCATACGTACCGGCCGGGAGCCTGCGTACCGGCACTGGAAATCAGCAGGTAAGCCGTGAGACGGTACTTTGGGATCGCTTTGAAAGTATCTGTGGTAGGGGGGACACAACCTACGAGTGCTGGTTCGTCCGCAAAAGGCAACAGTATATGCGGAACTAATTTTGATCTACCTTTTTTTCATTTCACCCCAGACGGCTTCTTGCAGTCGATCGCCGTGCCGAGCCTCGCGTTGGTCAGCGCGTACCCTACGTCATCGTACACGGTAGCCCGGGGTTACCCCTCATACAGCTAGTACGTACCCCTGGTCAAGTTCTACAGGTAAAGCAGACTCCCAATTCCTGATCTGGATGAATAATTAGAACTATCTGGTTTGTTTTATCATCAACATTGTTTTAGTCATTAACAGAATTTACCCTCGGATGATGAATTTTCTTAATAATAATAATTTGGTGTTCATATTATAGCACTTAATTTACTGGTCTCAAAGCGTCAGGCCATGAGACCAGTTTTTGCAGCAGCTACCTTCTCAGGTACCCAGTTGGACTCCTGGATAGAGAAGACAATTGTGGTAAAATGTCTTGCCTGAGAACACAAGTCCCATGTAACCCGGCAGGGTTTGAAACCACCTAACATGGCAAGAACTGTAAACCATTGTGTCGGGGAGATTTGGACCAGCCAGCTGACCGTAGCAAGCTCGGTGGTCGAGTTGTAAGACGTCTGCACTAGTAAGCAGGAGGTCGTGGGTTCGAGTCCCACCTGAAGGATTAGCGTGTTTAGACGTCACCCGGAGGCGTATCGAGGCAATTTTGACGTCTTAACCCGTCAGCCGTGCCTGTGTATAAAAACAGCCAGTGCGTGTTATCACATCTTCCGACACGAACTGGAACCAGTATGGTTATTTACATTTTCTTAATTCAGAATTCCATCATAAATTAATAACAATTCTTTTCTCGCTTTTAAGGATCCTAGCCTGCGACTGAACACCACCTATTACCTGACCCGTCAACTGGTACCCACCCTGAACCGAGTCTTTGGCCTATTGGGCGTGGACACCATGCAGTGGTACCAGGAACTCCCTAGGTGGCATAGGGTTAATACACTCCACCAGCTTGGGACACCAGGGAAAAAGGTCGGTTTTATGACTGCAGGCTTTCAATTGTTCCTACTTGTCCTAGTTTTCCAATTTGTTTTTCACTGTGCTTTCCTACTTTTTTCTTGAAATTCCTACTTTCCCCCCACAACTCCGAAAATGAAATCTGTTTGAATATTTTTCATAACAGTGTTACACACTGTCATATGTAAATCACACAATGAAGGGCTTGGGCGCAGGAGTACTGCAACTGTTCTTCCAAGAGCTTAGTTGAGGATGGAGCAAAAGTGTTGTGAGTACAGAACATGCCAAATGAGGCTTATGATGCTGTGGACATGGGTGAGTATCGACGAAAACTACTCCTGAAAGCCCACAAAAGTCCTACTTTTATCCTGATTTTGTTCTCCAACGTCCTACATTCACATTTGATATAATAACAAGCCTGCCGAGTGTAGCAAGATGTATCAGGTCAGAAATCTCAAGGCCAAACTGCCTCAGAGTCTGTGGTCACCGACTGCAGCAGGATACAACTGTGGCATTATTCAATGGGACTAGCTCTCATTGTCTCAGAATTGACCGTTTATGCACTGGTGTTGATGGCTCAGTGCAGCAAGGTCCCACAGACTTTGACACCTGATGCACTGTGTTGTGTCTGGCAGGGTTAGGGTCAAGAAAGAAAACTAACAGCATGCAGATGATAATTTTCTCAAAACACCATCGGGTGGGGTTTTTACAGAGAGTACTGTTGTCTTTTTCCGGCAGGGAACTATCTCGCAGTACTTCGTCAGTCTTAACTGCGTCATCTGCGAGAAGGTTACCAAGGAGAGCCTGTGTAGTGACTGTAAGGCCAAGGGTCAAGTCACGGCTACTGCCCTCTTGAGCCGAGTCCAGCAGTGGCAGTCAATCCAGCAAGACATGGCCAAGGTTGGTTGCTTACTTTTATGGCTTGTAGGATCATTTGCATTTATCCCAAAAGTAACCAACAAAATTATTATCAAAAATCTGACTTGGATTAAAGATCGTACAGGTACAAATGAAAGGTAATGCAATTTAGTCCAATGGGTCCAATTATTACCATTATTTGGAAATTTGGATTATTGTTTGTACAGATTTGCGCTAGCTGCTGCAACTTCAAGGAACAAGACACATCTAGCTGTGTGTCTTTAGACTGTCCAATCATGTTCAAGACCAACAAGCTAGCCAGACAACTGGGCCAGGCACCCTACTACCTGCAGCTTCTAGATGGCCTGTGAGGATTGGTCAATTGTGTGGAGATTTGCCTTGTTTTGGACTTAATGTCCAATCAGGGGCGTGCTATAATTGCAGGCACCACACTACCTGCAGCTTCTAGATGGCCTGTGAGGATTGGTCAATTGTGTGAAGATTTGGTTTTGTCTGAACTTACTGTCCAATCAGGTGCGTGCTACAAGCACTGCTAACTACCTTGGTCTTATGAAAGGTCAGTGAGGATTGGTCTGTTGGTTGACCATAACAAGTAGTGGTGTGATATCGTTATCCAATCAGGTACATTCTTATATTTATTGGATCATACCTCACTGAATCACCTGCAGTGTTTTAAAATGATTGCAAGAAACAGTTCATAATTTTGACAAAAGTACTAAATGTTTTGATCTTTTTTATTTTTTTGGCCAATCATTGTCAGCGTTACTGAAATATCAGGGACAATTATCTTACACGCCACATTGTCTCAAAGACTCCTTGGGATTGGCCAGGTGTACAAACTATTGTTGTACAGGGTTGTATTTTAGCCAATCAGAATTGTGCTACTGAAATTGTTAGCATGAATCAGACAATGCACAACTCAAAAAAATCAACTGTAATAATTAACTGATCTTAGGACAATTTTGAAAAATTGCCACTTATATATTCCGGAACTATAAAACTGGTTTTATCTATTCCTTTCTTTCAATCCTCTTTGATATGTGGTGTGTGGTTTCAGAATTTTTGTATGCATGATATCATTGAATCAAACTTTAGAATATTGATCGTGACTTTATTTAATATAAAATGCTATGTACATTTCAATTTCTTCAAGTTATGCATTTTGCAAAATTTACCAGTGCCTATGCATTTGAAATGCAAACCTTTTTAAACCACAAAAAAAAGGTATTTTTGGAGGATTTTTCATAAGCCGGTGCTTTGAAGTTGACTGAAAAAAAATCATAATTGTAAAAGCGGCTGTGATTATTTAGATACGTGATGACAAATTCTTATTTATACCAGGTCTACGCAATTGTGGATGATAGAAATTGGAATTGGAGAAATAACGATTAAATGTCGTAATTAACCCTAACCTTCCCAAATCCTACACAATCCTCTTCGCAAAATGGAAGATTTTGCAGGATTGAGGCTGTATGGCAAAAATGTGTGGTTGATTTTGGAGGATGCACTGTGTCAAGGTCTTGGGCTGGACCTTGTGTTGTTTATGCTTAGACATGCATAAATTTTGGCCTAGATTATACTTGAAATCCTCCGCACTGCTCCAGGATGTCACTGGCTCTGCCTCAACGTATTGACAGTGATTGCTGGAGGATTTTGCAGGATTGAGGCAGTGGTCACCCCTCCAAGGACCACATTCAAGAAATAACGGAGGATTTTGCAGGATTGAGGCTGTATGCAATTTTTACAGGGTGGCAGTTGGAGGATTATGCAGGATTGAGGTTGCATCCTAGCAAAAATGCCTACTGAGTTAGAGTTAATAATTCCTTTCAGATGGTCATCACGCTTGTACTCAAACAAATAGAAATCTTAAAACAGAAATTCAGAGGTAAAAAAAAATTCTAATTTGAGAGATGTTGAAAATGCACCAATTATTTTAGCAGATAGTTTGCATTTATCCCAAAAGTGACCCACAAATTATTATCGAAAGCTTACTTTGATTAATTAACGGTCGTACTGGTACTAAACACCCCATGAAAAAAAAAAGGTATTTCTTTATGAAGGCTGATACGTCTTTCTGTGACGGAACCATTCAAGTTGTCAAAGACTTGCAAATCCTTGTTTTGTATACATTGATTGATATGCTGCAATTCGAATCAAATGTTGTACTGTAAAGTTCGTTTGTGATTCGTATGAGTAATCATACGATATTTGTAAGGAATATAATAACATACCATCTCATTTCTATTTTAATGGGTGATGTGTAAAACAGTGTAAATATATTGTACATATTTATCACGTGAATTATTTAATCAAATTTTTTCTTTCTTTATATTCAACATGTGTGAGACACATCAAGCACTCTAAATTTCAAATCACAAAAATTTCCAATCTATTTTGCAAAAAAAACTGTAGTGTGTTTTATAATTGATATGAGTCATTCTATGAATTAAGGGTCCAAAGTGTGACATTTTTTTCCTGTTCAAAATACCTTGGTACTTTATAATTTGTTGTTCAAGTATTATTAAGAATTACTTCAAACGATTTGTTTTATTTGTTGAGTACGTAGTTTGCTATCATAATCTTGGAGGACGACTGCATTTTTATCAAATCATAGATGTAAGATGTAACAGGGGGAAAAAAAATGGACCTGAATTTATGTAATGACCCATATGCATATTTTATGTGTGTTGTGGATATGTGACACTTGTGACGACCACAAACAATTCAAAACATTCCATGTGAAGTTGTTCATCTTCACCCAGTTTATGATCACTGTGTACAAGTACCTTGTAGGCTTATTTCAAGACTGTATTTGCTTCAGCACTTGATTTTCAGCTGGCCCCGATCCTGGAAAGCATAGTAAACCTGCCCGGAGAAAAAGGGTACCATCCACAAGATGAATCAAATCCAGTCTTGTAAACTTTTGCACTTAGAGCGAAGAAATTCCAAGTTTACTGCATGGCCTCGCATCCACCAGCACTCAATATTGTTTTACTATACTCTCGAGGACAATGCTTTGTGTTACCCTTTGTCCCTGTCATTTAATACTCTCCCATAGACTAAGCACACAAACCTACTACAGAGGACCGTTTCAAACAAAAGACCCAACTCCCGAGGACTGAAATGATCTGTTGTTCTCCCTTTGTGTGTCGGTCCTGGGGGTAATACAGAACACCTACAGCCATACAGGTGCTGTCTGCATACCCACCCAACCCCAATATTCTTCATTTTTGTTGTCAGAACGGTCGAGATTTTCGTCATATTTACGAGAATTGTTGGAGGTTCACAACGCAATTAGATATATTACTTCAAAGCCAAACATGAATCTATCACAGCACATGATTTAATGGTTGCCCATCCCTGCCAATTTAATATAGATTTTCCCAACAAAAAATAGGTGTTTAATAAAATTTAAAAAACCTGATAAACAAAGATATATTAAAAGAATTAATGGATTGTGTAAATGTCGGTCTATATTTTATATCACAGAACTATGAATTGGTGTGGGAGTAAAATGTACTGTATTTTTGAAGATATGGATTTTATTATTATTATTATTAATGTCTTGAAACAAAATGATGTGGTTTTGGTATTGGGATTTTGTGAGGGAATATTGGATGTCACTGTAGTTAAGCGCTTTACAGTAGAAATATGTATTTTGTGTCTTGTATTTTTTTCTGAAATTTTGAAACAATTCTTTTTAAGGGGCCAAGTTATGAAAGATGCATTTGACTTTATGCAAAAACTTACAGTTGTGTTATTATTATTTACATATTTCTTTGACTTGCAACTCATATGCCTGTTCTTGAATCTATGCACTATCAGAAACAAATGCATAAGAGATTGGAAAATTATATTTAACAAAATGTCAAAAACTGTTAAAATGTCGAAATGTACCAACGTATTTCATACTTGGATAGCATTTGTGCATTTCCAGTAAATTGGGGAAAACCGGTGTAGCGTGTGAAATTTGGACTTTAAAATCTAGATTCCCTTGGATGTATTGCGCATGCCTACGTAAAGATAATTAGCATAGCGACAGGCCACCGTGAGTTAGACCAGATTTCACAGGGGTCCAAATTTCATATGACACCGAAATGCAATAGTCTTCAACTTTTTTTTTTCAATTGTGTATTGCAGTGGGATTAATCGTTTGTCATGTTTATTCTGATTTAAAGTTGGGTTGTTTTTTTTTCAGTTTATTTGCAAAAAAAAAATAAACAAATATTTATATGAGACGAGCAGGAACTTCTTATTTTCTCTACTTTTACTTCTCATTGCCTTCGATTTCCGATTTTCCGAGTTTTAAGATATACAATTTTCTGCCAAAGAAAATACATTTTTGATGAATTTTGGCCAAAAAAAATTGGTATTTCTCGAAATTGCTTGAATTGTCTTTGAAGGCTTGATAACCCTTATTCAATATTCACACAAGCAAATTTTGCAATTTTTCTCCTACATTTTGAAATAATTGCGAAATCAATTAATACATTTGACTGTTTTTCCTTTCTTTTTAGCAAGTTTGAAGAAATTACATTTTTCATCAAAAAATTCACACAAAAAATATAAGGCATATCTGTCCAATGTAAGAGTGGAAACGTGTTCTAGGGACCCTGATGCATCTTCCCAGCAGGTTTCAAGAAATTTCATTTTTCAGCCAAATTTGAAAAAAATGTAAGGGGTTAGCTTTACTTTTGGCAAAAAAAATGAATTTTCTCCCAACTACTCAGCAATGCATATCGAGGCTTAGGGATCACGATTTAATATTCAGACCGGCAAAATTGGCTAAATGTTGGCCGAAATTGTGGCATTATGCGTAAAAAAATCATAAATTTGACCTATTTTACCTCAAATTTTCGACGTTATATTTCTTTTTGAAAAGCATATCTGTCCAATGTAAGATTGGAAACGTGTTCTAGGGACCCTGAGGTATCTTCCCAGCAAGTTTCAAGAAATTTCATTTTTCAGCCAAATTTGAAAAAAATGTAAGGGGTTAGCTTTACTTTTGGCAAAAAAAATGAATTTTCTCCCAACTACTCAGCAATGCATATCGAGGCTTTGGGATCACGATTTAATATTCAGACCGGCAAAATTGGCTAAATTTTGGCCGAAATTGTGGCATTATTTGGTAAAAAAATCATAAATTTGACCAATTTTACCTCAAATTTGCGACGTTATAAATTATTTCCTTTTGAAAGGCGTATCTGTCCAATGTAAGAGTGGAAACGTGTTCTAGGGACCCTGAGGCATCTTCCAAGCAAGTTTCAAGAAATTTCATTTTTCAGCCAAATTTGAAAAAAATGTAAGGAGTTAGCCTTACTTGTTTTTCAATTTTGGCCAAAAAATGAATTTTCTCCAAACTGCTCAGCAATGCATATCAAGGCTTTGGGATCACGATTTAATATTCAGACCGGAAAAATTGGCTAAATTTTGGCCGAAATTATGGCATTATTTGGAAAAAAATTCATAAATTTGACCAATTTTACCTCAAATTGTGGACGTTATATTTCCTTTTGAAAGGCATATCTGTCCAATGTAAGAGTGGAAACGTGTTCTAGGGACCCTGAGGCATCTTCACAGCAAGTTTCAAGAAATTTCATTTTTCAGCCAAATTTGAAAAAAATGTAAGGGGTTAGCTTTACTTTTGGCAAAAAAAAATGAATTTTCTCCAAACTACTCAGAAATGCATATTAAGGCTTTGGGATCACGATTTAATATTCAGACCGGCAAAATTGGCTCAATTTTGGCTGAAATTGTGGCATTATTGGGAAAAAAAAATCATGAATTTGATCAATTTTACCTCAAATTTTCGACGTTATATTTCCTTTTGAAAGGCATATCTGTCCAATGTAAGAGTGGAAACGTCATCTAGGGACCCTGAGGCATCTTCACAGCAAGTTTCAAGAAATTTCATTTTTCAGCCAAATTTGAAAAAAATGTAAGGGGTTAGCCTTACTTTTTTTTCAATTTTGGCCAAAAAATGAATCTTCTCCAA